GAGGGGAAGGTTGTTGGTAGTGTCCACATATAATTAGTGAAAGAAAATATTTGACGAGGTTCATGCTACTCCAATTGAAGGGCATTCTGAGTATCAAGCAATTGTGTAGAGATTGAGATCATCATTTTATTTGTAGGGGTACTGCAAAGATGTTAAACAATGGGTTAAGGAATGCAAAATTTGTCAAAGGAATAAAGGGGAGAATGTGCCTTTACTTGGATTATTACAACCTCTCCCTATACCTGACCATATATGGAGGGATATCTCTATGGATTTTGTTGAAGGATTGCCCATGTCAAACCACAAGTCAATTATTCTAGCAGTTGTAGATAGGCTATCCAAGTATGCCCACTTCATCTCCCTTTCCCACCCCTATACAACACAAGTTGCAAAAGTGTTTATTAATGAGGTCTTTAGACTTTATGGAATGCCCAACAATGCTGTAAGTGATAGAATTATTCAAAATCCAAGGAGTTTCTCTCAACATGAGTTCAATATACCATCCTTAGTCTGATGGTCAAATAGGGGTGCTTGGAAACCTACTTGCGTTGCCTCTAGCTAAGTGGTGGTACAATACTAGCTAATAGTTATCATTCAGTTATTAAGATGAACCCTTTCTAGGTAGTTTATAGAGTGGCTCCACCTACTTTGATAACATACAACACGAGTTTTAGCAGTAGAAGATGAACTCAAAATAGGGACAGGGTCTCGGACACATTTATAGAAAACTTGACTTATGCTCAGGATAGATTGAAGAAACAAGTAGATAAGTACAAATATGAGTGTGGGTTCCAAATTGAAGAGTGTTTCCTTGCGTCTGCAACCATATCAGTAGGCCTTTATAACATCAAGAAGGTCAATGAAGTTGGTTGCCAGGTATTATGGACCTTACAAAATTTTGCAAAGAATTGGAAATGTTGCTTATTAATTGGTCGGATCTACCAACAACTTGCAAATTACACCATGTTTTTCACGTATTTTGGTTGAAGAAAGAGGTTGGAGAGTATGTTGTTAGCCCTAATCTACCTCTACTTACACAGGAGAGAACCCTGCATCCCTTTCCTGAATTTATAATGGACTGTCACATGGTAAAGAGAGATAATTGAATTGTCACTAATTTTTTTATATGAATGGAAGGAATTACAACACAGAAAAACAGGAAGAAACAAAACCACAAACATCAAATAAACAAATGAATGCCAAATTAGCATCGTTTAGGTGGGGCTCAAAAATGTCCTAAGGTGCCTTAGATTCACCAATCTATTCATAGCACAATTTGTTTCTTTGAACACATGCATGTACCTAATGCTAAGATTATTGTAGCATCGCATGACGTGGCAATCCTTGATGAAGTTATTGATATTCCATGGAGGTTCCAACTTACTATAGAGGCAGTTGATGATAAGGCTTGAATCACCCTCGATGATGGACTTAAGTTGGGGAAACTTGCATGCAATTTCGTGAGCTTCAATGCTGGCCCAAGCCTCAGCTTCATTTATCAAACATTTTCCTATGTCCCTGCAATTGGTCCAAGCGGTCTAACCAAATTCATCCCTCATAATGGATCCTATGGCACAGTTGTCATTCATCCTATGTAAGGCATCAAAGTTTATTTTAATCCCATTGCTTCCTGGTTTAACCTATCCAATAGCTAATTCCGTCTTCATTTGGATTAGGGGTAAAGCTAGTTTTCCCTATAGTCTCCCATATTTGTTTCGATTCTTGATAGTACAGAAACAAGTGTTCTATATCTTCTTCCTATCCATAGAAGGGTAGTCGACATCTGCTCTTAGCCCCTAGTTTCTTAGCCTTGTGTTTGTTACAATCATCCTATTTAAAAACAGATATAGGAAGAAAATAATCATTTGAGGGCAAATCAATTTCCATAGTTTGCCCAATCTTCCATCCATATTATTATGGTTCAACTCATCTTCCATTAGTTGATAAGCTGTCTTCATTGAAAAGTTACATTTGGGATGAAGTTTCCAAATCATGGTATCACATTGATCCTTAAGAGGGATGGGGATAGCTCCGCTTTTTTCCTATAGGTTTTAGGGGAGTAGTTCCAATATTTTTTATTCATATTACATGTCTTTAAGTCATTAATGACATCACTCACCACTAGGTTTTGGTTATGCCCGCTTGAAATCCCAATATTTTCCAGTGGAGAGTTCCCCACCCACACATCATTCCAGAAATTAATAAACTAACCGTTTTCCAATTTCCAACCAACCCCTTTTTTAGGATATCTCTATTTTCTAATATTCCCCTCCAAGCCCAAGAAATGCTCTTTTGGGGTTTACTTGCTGGAAAATTTCACTCTTCATATATTTATTCTTGACTATTTTAACCCATAGATTATTTGGTTGGGTTAGCACCTTTCATCCTAACTTTGCTAGGCTTATAGCATTTACCCAATGAAGTTATTTTAGACCCCATCCACCATTCAGTTTGGGCTTGCATATTGTGTTCCATTTAACTAATCTTATCTTCTGTTTTTTCCTTTCCTCCCCATAGGAAGTTTCTTTGCTTCTTTTCCAAAGTTTCTACCATCAATTTAGGGAACTTGAAGGACCTCATTAAGAATTGTGGCATCATTGCAACAAAAACCTTGAGAAGGGTGACTCTTCCTACTAGAGAGAGGGAGTTTCTCTTCCATCATGTCAGCTTCTTGTTTACAGTCCTCTATTTTTTTGAAAGTTTCTTTGGTTACTCTTCCCTCAATGATTGGGGCCCTTAGGTAGTTTTCTTTTTTTTTTTTCTTTTCAATTGGAATTTTTAGAACTTTGGAGAGGACTTTTTGAATCCTTTTGTGGATATTTTTAGAGAAGAAGATACTGGATTTTGCAAAATTCAGTTTTTGGCCTTAGGCTCCAGTATACATCTCCATGGTTTCATTAATTCTCAAGGCATTGTCAATATTTGCCTTCGCAAAGATAATGCAATCATCAACAAATTGAAGAATTTGAACTATTTGTCCACATCTCGATGCTTTAAACCCTAGGATTTCCTTGTTTTGATGGTCCTTCTTGCTCATAAACCTATAGAGGGATTCACTACACAAAACAAAGATGTACAGGGAATTTGTTAATGTTACATAGACTGATTGGTCTGAATTTATCAGTGTTACATAACCTGATTTACCATAACTTTATAAATAGTGTTACGTAAACTGATTGGTCAGAATTTATCAGTGGAATCAGGGTTGTTAATCTTTGGGTTTAGTACTATAAATGTTTTCTTTAGGTCTTTGGTCATTCAACCTGAGTGGAAGAAAGCTTCACCATGTCCTCTTTTGACTTCCCAATGATTGGCTTCTATTTTTTGAAAAAATAAACATTTAAGCCATCAGGCCTAAGTGCTTTAGTATCTCCCATAGAGTTAACCGCATCCACATATCTCATCTGTGGTCACCTCTTTTATGAGAGAGCTGTTTTGACCCTCTATGATTACCTCTAATTCTGCAATCACTTTATCTGAGTGTATCAGTACACTCCCATGAATCTTTCTTCAAATTTCTTAACAAAAAGCTCTTTAATTTCAATCACTCCCTCCACCCAATTACCATCATCATCCTTAATTTTGTGAATATGGTTCCTATTCCTTCTTATTAAATGTATGAAAAAATTTCGTATTTTTGTCTCCATGTCTCAACCATTCTATTCTTGATCTTTAAGCCCAAAACATTTCTTCCTAGTATAGGATTTTGTTGAGTTGTTTTTGTAGAGCAATTTCTTTATTTATGAGATCCCTTATGTCTTTATTCTCAACAAGTTCTTAGACAATTTTTAGTTGATTCATTATATTTTTCTTTTTTTTTCAAATATATTTCCATATTTTTGTTCATTCCAATTTCTGGTTTCACTAACTGTGTGATTTCTCTTATAAATTGTTGGCCCTGTGAGCCTGTATCCCTTTTCGTCCATGTTGGCCCCTAAAGGCTCCTATTTAGGGGAGCATAGACAAAGGAACACATCCATCTAATATTTGTATCACAATCGAAAACAAGACAATGGATCATTCTTTCAATAGAGCAGATGATGTCTACATTACATAGATCATTTTTCCAAAACAACCAAATTCCACCTGAATATCCTACTCGATTAACAACAAACCACTGATCGAAGTTCAGTCTACTAGCAAACTTTCCTACATCAAAAGATTGAACCCTTGTTTCTAACATTGCAAAAATAGCTGGGCGATTGCTACACACCAAGTCTCCTACTTGTCGTCGAAGGCTGGGTCTTCCCACCCCCCTAACATTCCATGTAACTTCATTGGGATTTAACTCAATCAATTCTGGACACATTTCCCTCATCATGTAGGCAATTTCTTTTCCTTTTGGTACGATAACTCTAGCCATTGATGCAACTTGGGAACATTACGAGGAAATTCAAGCTCAATATCCTGAGGATTGTCTTGCGGACAAAGCTCCAAATAACCGGGAGGGAATGCTGTAGATCATCCTTAGCTGAACCGGTTTCCTATGAGAAATGATTCATTGAGCTAGATCCTTCATTATTACTAAAAGATTTAATGATTGAATAAATTAAAGGAGCAATTAGTGGGATTGTTTTCTTTCATTTATGGAAGCTATGTAATAAAATTGTAATAAAAGAGAAGAATGAAGGAAGAGATCTTTTTCCTTGGTCCCAATTTTCTGATGGTGTCATTCTCCCTTGGAATGAATTCTTTTCCTTTAAACTCTTGAGAAATGAAAATTTTCACCAGAACTCAGGGAAGAGTGGAAAAGCAGCTTCCCAATCTCAACAGGTTGGTGAAGAGTCATATAACATAAAATGTAACAAAGATAGGATTTATCCCACCTTTAAATACGGAGGGTTTTATCTGGCCTCCTCTTTAGTGAATCCAACATTTAAGCTCCATAGAAGCTGAACTTAAGGAGATTTCAATTTACTGAAGAAAACTGACTAGGTGAATTTAGAGATTCACCCCCAGAGTTTAGGTAAACCAAGTTAATTCTTGGTAATCTTCTGGTGTAATTAATCTGGTTTATTCATACATCAACATTTGTTGCTGTGGAGATTCAAATAGTTGTGTTCCAACAGCTCAGTTCTTTTTTCGCTTATGAAGTTGGACGCTAAATAAGATGAAATTTTACATTTTTACTGGATCTACTTGTTTTATATTTCTTCCTTTGTTTTCTCTTTTCATTGTGGTGTTTGCAGCGAGATTAAGGAATACTAGAAGGCGCTTTTGCTGACCTTCTACTGTGAGATGTCTAATACTATCTAATATATACAAATGTTACCAATGGCAATAGCCAAAAGACAGTCTGACTCAATGAACATCACACTCCGATTCATAGTCAGCCAGATTAACAATTTCCAAAATTGCTCTCAACTCCCATTCAAAAACCCATGACTGATCCTCCCATTGCCACCACAAAAGAACCTGTAGAAGAACAAGCAACACAGCCATAAGAAACATAATTCTGAGACACAATAGCACAAGCACAACCTAAGACAATTCTCTGGTGGACAACAAGAAATATATCTATGACCTGCATCGCAATTAGCAATAGAATGATAGAAACAATCTCAGAAGCATACTGAATGGCATATAAACTAAATATAATATTAACAAGGTGTAAAACCCAAATAAGGGAATTTTTTTTTCAAAATTTGAGAAATAAGCAAATTCCTAGCTTGCCAAACGTAATAGCAGCATACCATGACGCCCTTCAAAAACTTTCAGCAAATTCTCCGGTGGACAACAAGAAATATATCTACGACCTGCATTGCAGTTAGCCATACAACTTCCTTTTTTGAATGTTGATGCCCTTCAAAAACTCCGGTTCCTTTCACGCCAAACTACCCAAAACACAGCAGTAGGACAGGTGTTTCAAACCACTCTTCCGGCCTTAAACCCTTTAACCAACAAGCAAACATAAAGCTCTTCACATCAGATGGACAGCACAACTTTGTCTCAAACAAGTCCAGAATATTCCCCCAAATCCAGTGTGTGAACTCACAGTGAATCAGGAGGTGATTAGAGGTTTCTGTACTTCTGTTGCACAGGGGACAACTTTCATCCTGCACTTGAATGCCCCTTCTGACAAGGATATCTCTGGTCTGAATTCTGTTCAGCACTACAAACCACACAAAGAATGATACCTTAGAAGGGACATTTCTTATCCAATTCTTACCCGAGAAAGCAGAAGGCTCCTCCCTTGTCAATCTGTTATAGAAAGATTTGACAGAAAATTCCTGAAATTTCAAACTTCCATTTCCTTCAGTCCTCAGCTCCATTTAATCTGACATATAAAGACTGCAGCAGGCTTTAGCTCCCAATCATTCAGATTTCTCCACAAAAGGGGATTCCATACCAATACTCCATTCTGCCATTCCATATAATTAGCCACTGTTGCATTCTTGTCCACTGCTATCTCAAAAAGAGCAGGAAATCTGTCCTTTAGCAGGCCACCTTCACACCAGAAGCCCTTCCAGAAGAGAACCCTTTGACCATTCCCAACCTCATACTTTATTCCTTTTAAGAACTGAGAATCAATTTTTTGAATTGCCTTCCATACTGAGCAACCATATGAGAATCTAGAGTTCTCAGTCCCCCAATCTCTTGCTGTAGGACCATACTTTGCTGAAACTAGCTTCCTCCACAAACTGTTCGGCTGATCATTATACCTCTGAAGCCATTTCCCAAGCATTGCCATATTTACTTCCCTTAGTTTTCTGACGCCCAGACCTCCAAGATTTTTGGGTCTGCAGGCTGACTTCCACTCATAGTTGTCAAGGCTGATCGCCTAGGCGACGGAATTTGAAAGTATAAAATAAATATTCCTACCCCTCTCAAGCTACTTTATTGGTTTTTTATACTAACCAACATACCTGTATGCTAGCTATTAGCAATAAAATCATTTGAATAAAACATGAAATGCCATAGCTAGCACCCAGGCCAACAAAAATGGGGGAGTGCAGATAAGAAAAGAGAAAAATAAGGGGGCGGAGCCCCTGTTTCGTTCCCAACATAAGTTGTCCAAGAGAACGATGTGGACTGTGTTTAAGGGGGTGGAGACCCTGTTTCAGGCTAAAAAAATGGAGGATTATTAAAAGTAAGAAAGGAGTAGTGTGATTTTAGGAAGGAGGCAGAGCCCCTGTTTCATCCCAAAAATATTTCTAGAAACGTACCTGGAGGTCTTGGACTACATGGACTAAGAAACTTCTCAGTCATCGCTTTCTCTTCTCAGCTCTAGGTTCAAAACTTAAGTCTCAAACCCAAAGAAACTTTCATAGTTTTAATATAAAAGAGAATTACTTTAATAAAAAAATGATATCATACAGCAGGGTGTATTCTAATAAAATAAAATAAACCAATAAAATGATATAATACATATCCACATTCAAAAAAATAATATAATATATATATGGGTGAGCGCCTAATACAAAAACACCTTGGCGTTGGGCGAGGCGACTTCTAAAAATCGCCTAGTCGCCTAGGCATCGCCTTGACAACTATGCTTCCACTTCACCAAATGACATTTATTTTCCTCCTTCAACCTCTCCACAAAAAGTCCCTCGTCTTTTTCTCCAAAAGAGCTGCAGTTTTCACTGGGATTGGGAACACAGATATGTAATTGACTGACAGAGAAGAGAGCACACTTTTAATCAAAGTAACTTTCCCACCTTTTGACAGATACTTGGTCTTCCAGGATGCCAGCCACGTCTCCACCTTTTCTGAAATAGAATTCTAGATGCCCTTCGATCTGCAGTTATCTCCCAGTGGCAAACCCAGGTATTTGGTAGGCAGAGACCCAATTTTGCAACCCCAATTCCTAGTCCACACCTCCACATTTTCAACTGACCCGATAGCCAATAACTCAGTCTTAAAGGTGTTAATGTGAAGGCTGGTAATTATCTCAAACCATCTCAGAATTGCTTTAACCATTTCTAGCTGGTCCCAAGAAGTATCACAGAAAAAACAGGGTATCGTCTGCAAATTGTAGGAGGGGAACCTCTACCTGATCGCCTCCTACTTTAAAACTTTCCAGCATCCCTCCCGAACAAGCTCTCTCCACCAATTTGGAGAGGGGTGGAGAGGGCCTCAGTCACACAGATAAACAGAAAATGAGACAGGGGATCCCCCTGTCTTAAGCCTCTTGAGTTTCTAAAAATCACGCAAGAAACCCCATTCACCAACACTGAGAAAGGAGTGGATTACACATACTTTTATCCAGTTCCTCCACTTCTCCCCAAAGTTCATCCCTTTTAATATATAGTCCAAGAAATTCCAATTTACATGGTCATAAGCCTTCTCCGTGTCTACTTTACAGAGTAACCCAGCTTTTCCACTCTTCTTCCTTGAATCTATTAGCTCATTCGCGATAAGAACCCCATCCACAATCAGCCTTCCCCCAATAAAAGCTCCCTGGGAAAAAGATGTCCGCATGTTTAAGACTTTTGTCATTCTGTTAGCCAACAGTTTGGCTAAAATTGTATATACACTTCCAACAAGACTGATAGGTCCGAAATCAGTTAGTTTCACTGCCCCCTTTTTAAAATTTACAACTTGACCAAAAAGACTTTGGAAAACAAAATTAAAGCAGTTTCAATTCTCTCAGATTTTGCAAACAAAAGATGAGACAAAATGGGCACTTGTAGAAATCCTAACTCCATGAATTTTCCCCTCAGACTCAGCCTTGGTCAATAAGAGAGACCTTCTATGGCAAGGATAATCAAGTAAGGAGAGAAAGGGTCCCCTTGCTCTAGGCTTCAAGAACAACAATGAGATAGTAGAAGGCCTAATTCTTGCCTTTCTCCTCATATGTGCTTCTCATGCAGGGTTAGTGGCAAAATTCTTTCCCATTTATTTATCTCTTACACTTTTGTACATTGCATTTGGGAGTATTAGTGTTCTTTTTTTGGTTGCAAGTGGGATCCCCCTCAACTTCTTTGAGGAAACCAAAGAAAAGAGGGGGGATCTTTTTGGAGAGCTGCAAAGGCGGCAGTAGTTTGGATTGTTTGGGAAGAGAGAAATGGAAGAATTTTCAATGGAAAGAGTAGATCATTGGAAGAGGTAATAGACAGCATATAGCTAAAGGTTGCGGTTTGGGTAAAAACCTTGGAAAGTTTCCAGATCTCTGTCAATGATTTAATAAGAACCTGGACCAAGGTGGCACAATCTTCTAGAGAAAAAGATAAGGATGGATTGGAAACTTCCAGAAGGCAACAAGGTAAAACTGAACTTTGATGGAAGCTCATTTGTAAACCCAGGTTTGGCAATAGGAGATGTATTCAGGAACTTTGAAAGCAGAATAATGGCTTTATACTCAGGGCCTATTGGAATGGGAAACTCTTTGAAATCTGAACTGATGGCTTTATTTCAAGGTGTATGATTAGCAAAACAATTGGGGTAACTAATTATCTCATGGGTGAGTTGTAACAGATATATCTTGTGGACTCTTAGACATGCTTTTAGGGAGGTGGATGATGCAGAACCACCACCTGTTACAAGAAATTAGAAGAAAGAAGACAAGAGAGGAAGTTTGAAAGAGGATATGAAAGACTTCTATTTCTCAAAAACATAATGTCATACAGCCCTAAAATAATGTTTATTTATAAGAAACTTAGAACTTAAAATTACAACTAAGTCCCTACCAAATATGGAAGTTTCACTTAACCCCCCCAATGAAAATTACAAATAGCCCCCTTACTAAGAAGAAATTTTACAAATAAACCCAAATTGTGCATTAATCAAAGTAACCCTAAGCTAATGCATCTACGCCTAAAATAAGTACAAATTCTATGTGGTGCTTCAATCTCAAAGTGATCTCCATCAATTCTCCTTGATGGAAAAGAACTCTCCTCAGGAGAGGTAAGGGAATGATACTGCTCCAATAGATCTGGATCTAGGTGACGAAGTTCCTCTTCTGAAATCCAAGTAGCATCGGTATCAGGGTGACCTTTCCATTCACAAGATAATGCTGAAAACCACCTAGTCTGGAGGTGACAACTTCATCTTGGAGAATACTCTCGATCTGTTCGGCGTGTGAAGACTGAACTCCTGGTAGAATGGGTACAAGAACTGATGATGAAGCAATGCTGGTTGTGGGCACACCTACAGGTAGAGTAGGAGGCTCAAAGGTGCCTCGAATAGGAAATAAATCCTCTACATTGAAAGTTGAGCTAATTCCCATATCCAAAGGTAAATCAAGTTCATATGCATTAGGCCCTATCTTTCGGATGATGCGAAATGGGCCATTGGCTCAGGCATATAACTTTTTAAAGGAGTATTTTGGATAACGCTCGGGACACACACGAACCATGACATAATCTCTTTCAGTGAATTCTTGATCTTTGCGATGTGCATTTGCAGCAAGTCTAGTTCTCATTACTTAAAGCAATTTTTCGTCTTATACTGGCATCAAGGTTTAAAATGTCGATGTCGATGGAAATGTCGCTTACCAAAATATAGGA